GCCGATGGCTAGTCTCCGTTGAGGCAGAGTTTAATTAAACAAATAATACACTAAAAAAATTAATGATTCTGTAATTTGAATATTTTTACCGATTATTTGATTATTTTAGCCGATTATTCGCATAGCAATGAATTTCATCATTCAAACACTACGGTAAGGTATATAGCGACGTATCATCGAAACGACGTCTCATAAAAAAGTTGATACCGGTTATTTTTTTAATATTTTGCTTTGTTTGAAAGATTATAATTTAAATTAGTGATAAAAAACTATACAGGTTGTAGTGAAATATAGATAACTTCATAATTATTGGAATTTTCGTAAAAGGTTATTTTTAAATCGTTTGAGAACGCGTGTGCAAAGTTATTGCAGAATGATTAACGTGAAACGTCAAAAGGTATTTCTTAGATTTGGTTGACTATAAATAAAGTCATATTTATAAATCCTACACAGGAATGCCAGGGTGAGTTGATATAGTTTTAATGAAAAAACTAGTTATGCTGTTAACATTCCACTTACAGCAATAAATAAGCATAATATGCTTGCGTTAGGAGTGTTTTTTTGATTCGAGATTGATAAACGAGCGACATTTTTCCTCGATTGAGAATGAAAATGAAGATGTGCTGTCAGCCCTGTGGACTGAGATAAAATGCCTCAATCTCTGTTTTAGGGACACCGGTTCTCTTTGTAAAATAAAATATTAAAACTACAAAAAATAGTTTAAATTTACCATGGGGTTTTCTGTGCTGCAACAAATAAATTCTGCCCACAAGATCCTAGATATGGCACAGTGTTTTCCTGTGGATCGTTGTGCTGCAGAAATATGCATCGTTCCGCATAATTTTGAGCTTGACGTGCAGCACCTGCGTGCCAGGACTGCAAAAAAAACATAATATCATGGCATATTAGAGGCAGTAGGCAAAAAACTAAATTTGTAAATAATGGGTGTGGGCATACCGTTACTGTTACAGCCTATTAAAGTCCACTGCTGAACATAAGTCTTCAAAATATATTGCCTGATATGAGGGAGGGATATTTGCCATAGTTGCCCCGCTTGGTTTTTTACCACCGCAGTTTTTTATTTTTAGTAATAATTAAGAAGATGATGCTGCCCACCTCCTGATTTTTTTCCATCTTACAATACCCACGGGATGATATGGGGTAGTGGATATTACTTATGCCGCTACTTTACGGTCAATGGACGGTGGTATAATCAGTTTTAATTTAATAAACTTCAACACCGTTTGATCAATCATCATTAAAGTTGGCACATATAAGTATGTTTCTGGGCCAGTGTCTAAAAATGTGTGTAAAAATAATATCTAGTGCTTAGTGCGTGTGAACAGGCAGTGACAATTGATAAGTGTGAATAAAATTTACATTAAGCATTTGTCATTTGTCAGTTGCACTTGCCACTCGCATTTGTCACTTCTCAAAATGAAAATCGGGCGTTAAACTTAAAGTCCACTGCTGAACAAAACATCCTCCATAGATTGAAATATTTTATTGTTATGAATTGTTATCAGAAAGATGCTGTTGCAGCTGTTTTCATTTACATATGGGTGTCATAAGAGTCGACGGATGCCGTTAAGCGACGGTGTAAGAGAATTACAACATTACCCCATATATAAATTACACATTGATAATCATCCAGGCCCGGAAAAAAATTGCAGGCCTTACAAACAGTTGTTTCGTGCGTAATTTGGACTCGGTGTCTACCACCACAAGTCCAATAATATCGACAACCTTTTTTGTGGAAAGAATACACCAATTTGCCACGTTGCGGAATGCTTCGTTTCGACTAAAAAGTGTCTCCGGTTCTATACACTCACCATACGAAACATAGCAGCATTAAGCTGCTTTTGTCATCTGGTATTCATACAACAACCATAATGTAGCTGCTGTTTGGCTCTACCACGTAAAACTATTCCATTAATGGACACAGAATGGATATACCTTTGTTCCCCATAAGCATTTTGTTATTGAGCATCATAAGCATTTTTTTATGAGTGACCAATGAGTATAGCATTTTTATACGTGGTAGAGCCACGCTACGGCTATGTTATGGTTGTAGCTCGAATGGGTCAGATCGACTGTGGTAGGACCACGCTCTCACAGAATACCAGCGTAAGGGGTGACAACGCATCTGAATTTTGATCTGTGTGCTCGTTTTTCACCATTATTCTATATATAAAATACAGTCCACCTGATAGTGAGTTGATGCTGTAGTCCGTAAACTTTCAAATTTATCCTCAATTAAGAATCAAAATGCGGATGCGTGACGACGCATCCGCATTTTGATTCTTAATTGAGGATAGAAGCATTCTGTCTTGGTCCTCAGGCGTGACGACGCCTGAGGACCAAGACAGAATGCTTCGTTTCCAGTAAAAGGGGTCTCCGATTCTATACACTCACCATACGAAACATAGCAGCATTAAGCTACTGTAAGCTGCTGCTGCTAGGCTCTACCACGTAAAAATATTACATTAGTGCACACAGAATGGATATACCCTTGAAAATTTAGCGTAATGTGTGTATACATAAGAAATAAATTTGCCTAAGTATACAACAAAACCTATATGGTTTTCACGTATTTTTAAGAATGTAATGAAACCGAAAAGACACAGCTATATATTTGTATTGCGGATGACACACAGAATGACCTCAAGATGGATTCCTTTATCAAGGGAACGTTGTAAAAAAGCAATTAAATTTCAGTAGTGTTGCCTATTATTATTATTTTTAAAATATTTTAATTATATAGTATTATTTTTAAAATATTTTAATTTAGTATACATTATCATGATTGCTCCATAATTGCACATACTTGAAATATCAAACTTAAAATTAAAAAGTTTAAATAAATTTAAAGTATTTTTCGTTAATTACTTCTGTTCAACAAAAAGAATCTACCAACAAAAAAGGTCTAATAAAAATAAGTAAGAATAACTCAATTAAAAAAAATGGCTTATTAAATTTTTTAGTAATAAAGTATAATACAAAATTAATTGGTTTAAAATAATTTCTAACATTACAGTCTGCTAAAGATATGCTAGATAGCCGTCTACAAAAGATAAACTAGAGTTTGTTTCATTAAAGAAGTCATGTAGTAAGTATACGAACGGAGGCTAATTAAGTTTGTGGTAGACACGTAAGATCCGGCTGCACTGTCTCTGGCGTTGGGAGAGGAGGTACTTTCGGATGCAAATTTTTGCTGACCCCATAGTCTCTGCAGAACTACATGGAGGAGGGACGAGAGTTAGTTGCACGGGTAGAAATAGATGTCGTATAGGAAGGCGCGCTTTTGTTCCGGCGCTCCTTGCCTAAGGAGAAGAAGAAGCTGTTGTCCTCTCTCGAGAGGCTTACCAAGGGATGGCTTGCCCTAGTGGTCATAGATTACTGTGTATATACGGTAATGCGTTTGGTAATGAAGGTGCAACATAATAAGATTTTAGTCGGTCGGTTCCGTCGATCGGTCGGCTTGTACGACATAATTGACCCGTCTTTGACTCCGCGAGGCGGGTAAGTGCAGTTTTCCCCATGAGAAAACTGAGTAATGTGTTTGGTAATGAGGGTGCAACATAATAAGATTTTAGTCGGTCGATTCGGTCGATCGGTCGGCTTGTACGACATAATTGACCCGTCTTTGACTCCGCGCGGCGGGTAAGTGCAATTTTCCTCATGAGAAAACTGAGATCACATTGCAGTATACTTTGAAGCTTAATGCATCGAAAACTAAGCTTTATTGCTTAGAAATTTATAATTGTTTTAAGAAATCATTTTGTTGTTCTCCCATCGATTTCACTATCACTCTAGGGCTACAGCCAATTACAAGTCCACCTGCTAAACATAGGCCTCCCTCATTGATTACCACTAAGTACAGTCTTGAACCAATTGCATTCAGCGTTGTATTGTTTATATTCGTCCGCTATATTTAGAATATTTTAAATTAAAAAAAAGAAACATACTAAAAATATTTTTAATAATTTTAGACTATTGAATAAAACAAAGTATATTTTTAATATGTGTATTCTCTGTGTGTGTGATTGTGCTTGCTCACTCGGTGCGTGTGCGTGCGCGCGCGCGCACGGGTCGGTGTGTGTGTGTGTGTGTGTGTGTGTGTGTGTGTGTGTGTGTGTGTGTGTGTGTGTGTGTGTGTGTGTGTGTGTGTGTGTGTGTGTGTGTGTGAGTGTGTGTGTGTGTGTGTGTGTGTGTGTGTCTGTGTGTGTGTGCGTGTGTGTGTGTGTGTGTGTGTGTTGTGTGTGTGTGTGTGTGTGTGTGTGTGTGTGTGTGTGTGTGTGTGTGCGTGTGGGTGTGTATATGTGTGTGTGTGTTTATAGAGTACGTACATAGACAGGATCCTTTATTATTTACGCTAAAGTAATTGTAAAGTCTGGGTTCCTGAAATTAATAATGCTGTCGAGCACTCTTACATCTCGCTCGCTCAACTGTGTAACTTTATTAATAAAGCTGTTTGTCATCTACTTTACACTCACCATTAATAACATATTTGAAGCAGTCGGTTGTACTTTTGTACGGAAAAAATTATGATATAGCACAATTTTTCGTCTCACAACCGGTCGTTGTGGATTTAGACCATCATCTGGGATTTTACTGGGTGGAAAAAGCTCTGTAATTGGATATTAAAAATAATTTGCAAATGTTCTCAACGACAATTATATAAGAATATTAATGAGATGTTAGGACACGTCGAACTTCTTAAATTATCTGTATAATAATCTTACATTTAAGTGATTAAACATAGTTTTAATATAACCCATATTTACATGTATTTCATTTAGATACTTACGTCTGTTACTCCATTGTCTTGCACTTTGTAATAATATAATAGCGTTTAAAAGGATCAAAATATTAAGCCACATTACACTTCGCGTCAGCATTCTGGAAATATATATTTTAATTACTTTTCACAATAATGTACGTGTAAGTATTTGAAATTTGAAACTCGTTAAATTGTATCTGTATATGTTATAATCAAAAGTACTACTGACCGACAAAAGCAGTCAAAAGTAGCTTGGACTGAAAAATATCGATTAAAAGTAGTTTTGAACAATAATGGTAATCAAAGTCACGTATTTAGTATAAAAAGTGTTTATATTTTACAAAAATATTGCCAATCGATTAAAGTCGAGAGCACTAGTTTTTCTTAGGCTAGAGAGCACTAGTTTTTGCAAGCCCGGTAGGATCGTTTAATTTAAAAAAGTGTTGGGGCCCTTTTTCTATTTAGATCACTGCCTGTATCAAGGGCGAAAGGGAAGTATTTCATCTTAGCACTCAAGGATAACAACGCATCTAAGGTTTTTTTTATAGAATAGGCTGACAAACGAGCACACAGTCCACCTGATGGTAAGTGGTTGCTGCGGCCCATAGACATCTACATCTATCTTCCATTACAAATCAAAATGCAGATGCGTTGTCACCCGTGAGGACTGAGATGGAATGCCTCATTTTCAGTAAAAAGGGTCTCTTCTTTATTTGAAATCAGTCGCTTGTTTCCATGGATTTCAGTAGTCAGTTTCTATCAGGTGAACTGTTAACTATAAGATTATTAAAAATCGATAAGTAATATAATTACGTAAGTGAATTCCGTGGTATCGCAAGAAGATGAAGTAGCTTAGAAGCTGCGCAGGCGCTGTAAGTTTCAAAGTACGCGAGCAACGCAGGCTCGATACCTGTCGGCACCAACAAAATTCATAATTGAAATTTTAATTGCTATTTATCAAGCACTCAGTGGTGATTATCATGTGGTATTGTGTTGATGTGTCGATATATTTTTATTTTACTAATACGATATCTGAAGTTACACCTACTGTCGCTCATGTGGTGCTACAGGGAGTGGAACTTTTTATTCCATCATCTGTGGTACCTTTCGGAGGCAGAACTCAGCCTTGGTTTGGTCGCTCCTGCAAAATTGCATTACGTCGTAAGCAAGATTGCTACCCGGCCTAGCCTCGCACATCAACTTCTCGTTACGCAAGTACCAGCGCTCTTAAATGAAGTATCATTCTGCTTCCAGATCCTTCAAAAGTGTCATTGTCAAGGCAAAGTTAGAGCACATCGACAGAATTAGCGAGAAACTAGTTCGACTTCCTTCAGGAACACGTGTATTCTGGTCACTCGCCAAGGCTGTCCAAGGAACTTCTGCCAGCCGTCTCTCCCATCTCTGCACAGGGAAGACGACTTATTGGCCCATGCCGCAAAGGACAAATGCAATTTTCTAGGCTCCCTCTTTGCATCCAACTCGACTCTTGATGACGGGGGGAACACACCGCCGACCATTCCACAGTGTGAGTGCTCCATGTAGGATGTGCTGTTTACCCCACGCTCGGTGCACAGAGCACTCCCCTCCCCTGGACATCAACAAGTCGAGTGGGGCTGATGGCGTCCCTCTTGTTGTGCTGAAGACGTGCGCTCCGGAGTTGGCACCGGTTTTAACGCGTCCGAAAAACGATACTCATACTCCCTCGTTGCTCGTTGGTCTAGTGGTTCTAGTAGTGCGACTGCTGATCATGAGGTCCTGGGTTCAAATCCCGGGTCGGGCCAAAAAATTAATTCTTGAGTTTTTCTGTCAAAAAATTCTCAGCAGTTGCCCGGACTCAGGAAGTTAGCGGTGTCTCACCCCCAGGCCTCGGAAAGCACGTAAAGCCGTTGGTCCTGCGCCTGATCTTTTTCCGGTCGTGTCGGTTTACCGTCCCATCGGATTATGAGAGTGAGGGAATAGAGAGTGCACCTGTGTTTGCGCATACATTTGGGCACTATAATCTATAAATGTCCTGCGCCGATGGCTAGCCTCCGTTGAGGCTGGCCGCCGTGGCCTAAATTCGGTCTGGAAGACATTATTATTATTATTATTATTAGTATTTGGGGTATCTATATAGTTTTCTCATCTGGTTGGGTTATATAAATATATAATTATAAATTAAAATGAAACGATAAATATACATAAATATCAATAAAATAAAATAAATACAAAAATACATAAATAAATAAAAGCCCAACCAGATGGAAGCCCTCGGCAGGGGAGACCAAACGGCCGAAGGTTAGGAGGAAAGGGAAAGAAACCGGCGGACGATGCGGGCGGTATCGAGGAGCACCGCCTTTTGCAATTGAGCCCGGAGCAGTCCGTCACGGAGTCCCAGTCGCCTCAGATGACCCGAGAGGCTGACTGGGATTAGCCCATTCGCAGAGACGACTACAGCAATAATTTCGGCCGGCAGACCACCCCACATATCGGTCACCTCGTGAGCCAGGTCCAGATATTTTGTTCGTTTATCTGTTTCGGCTTTCACGAGGTTCTCGTCATACGGAATGGTAATGTCGACCAAAAATATCCTTGACTGTGCCCGGTCCATCAGCACAATATCAGGCTTATTCGCAAGAATAGTCCTGTCTGTGATGATGGCCCGATCCCAGTAGAGCCTAGCGCGGTCATTTTCGAGCACGGCTTCCGGCAAGTACTTGTAATACGGCAATTTCCGGTCCACGAGACCGTATTTCAGAGCGAGCTCCTGGTGTAAAATTCTGGCTACTAAGTTGTGCCTGTGCAAGTACTCAGAGTTAGAAAGCGCCGAACAACCGGAGATGACATGCCTAAGTGACTCACCGGGATGGCGACAAGCCATCATTTAGGATGTATCTCCGATAGTTGTTGGTCTTAATAACCTGGTCCTGTATTGCACAGACAAAACCCTCGGTTTCCCTAAATAGGTCACCGAAACGTAGCCAGTTGAGGGAGGCGACTGTATCTACGAAGGGCTCATGTAGAACCCTGTAGTATCTACCGTGGAGCTCCTTCTCCTTCCATACGATCTCCGGGTCGGAAATGCTTTGTACTGCCGGGTCTTGCCATTGCTCGTTGGCTAAGGATAGAGGGGTAAGTCCTTTATCACTAGAAATGACGTCTTATAGAATGGATCATCCGATCTCACCAGGAAGTAATTACGGAGGCTGCACACTTCGCGATTATGCATGGTGAGCGCGCTCAGAAAGCCACGCCCACCATGCTTTCGCGGCAAGTACAGCCTCATTACCGACGATCTCGGATGATGCATCCTATGGGACGTCATGGTAGTGCGGACTTTTCTATCCAGGGCGTTAAGTTCGGTCTGAGTCCACCTGAGTATGCCAAAGGTATCCATGAGGACAGGCATGACCCAGCCGTTATATGCGTGTACCTTATTCACACTGGACAAAAGGCTGTTAAGCACTTTGGTCAAGCGTGCATAAAACGTGTCGCAAACTGACTGTTTCATACCAGCCTCATCGATACCGATGTTCTGTGACATACCCAGGTATCGGTATGTTTCAGCCTCGGAAAGGGACCTTAAGTTGACGGGCATAGATAAGTCTATGCCCTCAGCGTTAGCAACCCTAGCCCTCTCAATATGGAGGACCGCACACTTATCCGTCCCCAGCTCCATTCCAATAGAATTGCTAAATTCACAAGTGATGTTTAGCAATTCCATAAGATGGGAGCGACTGGAGGCGAATAATTTGAGGTCATCCATATAGAAAAGGTGGGTCACTTTTGTACCTCATTTCCGAAGCTGAAATCCCCTCCCGGAACCCTCCAGTAAAGTACTGAGAGGGTTCAAAGAGAGGCAGAACCAGATTGGACTCAGACAGTCGCGCTGGAATATAGCCACTCTTATCCTTATGCGGCTTTCCGCAGCCGTCATCCGCTCGCCTAGATGACAGAGGATCGTACTCCACTGCCCCATACGCTGCTCGAGGAAGTCTCGAACTGTACAGTCAATCTTGTACAGCTCGAGGACCCTCTTTAGCCATGTATGGGGCACCGAGTCAAATGCCTTTCTGTAGTCTATCCAGGCGGCGGAGAAGTTCCGACGGTTGCGTTTCACCACTTTGCCAATGACCGCGTCAATGAGGAGTGGCTCCTTGGGTCCACAACCGCCGCCCCCGACATCCATTTTGAGCGCGCGACATCACCTGATTTGATTCCAGGTGACGAGTGTTTCTCGCGCTCAAAATGGATGTTAGTGTCTTGTATATGGTCGGCAGACACGTGATGGGGTGGTATTTGCTCGAGTCTGTGGTAACCTGGTCTTTAGGAACCAAATACGTGATCCCAGTAGTGAAGAAGCTCGGGAGCGACTTCTGGTTGAGAGCCTCTTGGAACTGTCGGGCGAACACAGTTTGACACACCACAAACCCCTTCAGCCAGTAGTGATGCAGCCCGTCGAGTCCCGGACTTTTCCAGTTCGGGGCCCTACGGACCGCCTCAGCTACGTCATTCGGCGTTATAATGACGGGATTCATGGGTGTTATACTCGCACACTGACTCGCCACAACTTCCGTCCGAGGGCCCTCGCTGTGGTTTATGGGCTCTGACCACAGGCCGCGCCAGAATGCTACAGTGTCGGCCTGATTCGGTGCTGGGCCCGTTCCACTTACCATTGGTCGCTCCAACGATTTATAGAGCCTCTTCTGATCACTCTGGAAGAGACGATTCTGGTGAAACCGTGTAGACCTCTCGGTATATTGCCGAACCCGCTTTCCCCAAGCAGCGATTCTCTGCTTCAGGTCATCTATGCGCTTCGTCAGTTTTTGCATTATATCCGGCTGGGACAAACTAACATTTGTCCTAGCAAATGCCATCCTGACGGTGCGCACAATCCTTGGCCTGTTGTTGCCTGACCTGAAGCATATCAGTCTGCCGATGAGGGCCCTAGCCTTTGCGATATGTTCTTCAATTCTTATTCTCTAGGCTGGGATAGCGCTACTTTGTCCAGTAGCGCGTCCAGCCGTGGAAAGTTTGGCGCCTATAATACGGCACACTGCCAGTGCGGCGCCAAAAAGAATTGAGTCCGTTTCGCAAAGGTCCCGGCTGGCTTACATATAGGTCACCAGCATTGGGTTCAGAGCCCTCACGACAGCCCGATTCCGCTTGCTTAGGGCTATGCGGGGAAGTCGCGGTCGACTTCTACTACGTACTACTACGTACTGCACGTTTCCACAATCGCCTCTTCCAATGTACTCCTCATATGCTCTAATTCCAGTTCCTGGACGACTGTTCCATCATCGTTTGAATCAACCACAACTGGGGTATTCACGGCGGCATTCACGTTTGCGGGTTGCTCTGCAATTTGTGGCGCTGCATCCTCAGCCGTAGCATTTTCATCCGATGAGGGAACAGCCTCACGTCGTAGTCGTTCGAGTTTGGCGACATCAAATATATTTGAGCGCAAGATATACCGAACCCGGTCTACCAGGTTTTGCTCTGAGACGGTTAAAGATGGCTCCAGCTCAGCAAAAAGACGATGCATCCTAGCCCGATACGCCAAACCTCCAATCTCTCCCCCTTTCGCCCTAAAATACGCCCGCAATGCGTTAGTATTCATTTCGGTTGTCCATCGCATGCGGCGTACTCCACCAGTGGCGGGTGCCGATTGCTGGGCCCGCGAAGACCCTGCCGACACCAAGCCAGCTGGTGGGGATGATGGATGCGAGGGGCTGATGGGTGGTCGTGCAGCACCTCTCGCTCGGCTGGCGGTTCGCATGCTGTCGCGTCCAGCGCCAGCTCCAGACGCGCCCTGGCGACCTCCAGGCAGCGGCCCTTTGCGCGTTTTTGCATATTCCATCATCCATAAAAGTGGGCGTTATTTAACGGGAGACGCCCAGACCCGGCGCCGTTTTATGGTGGGGCCATGTGCACAAGCGGGCCTTTGCGCCTTTAATTTTTGCCGAGGCACGGCACTAACACCTCTTGGCAAGGTGCTGACTGACTGCACTGACGTAGTGGTTTTGTCACATAACCGTTACGTCAGCGGGCGATGGGGTCTTTATTATTATTATTATTATGTGGGGTATCTATATAGTTTTCTCATCTGGTTGGGATGTATAAATATATAATTATAAACGAAAAGATAAATATACATAAATATCAATAAAATAAAATAAATAAAAAAAAAATACATAAATAAATAAAAGCCCTGTGTAAAGTGCTGTTTTCGAGAGTCATTACGAATCGTCTCGCACGCAGACTCGACGACTTCCAGCCTCCCGAACAAGCCGGTTTCCGAAAAGGCTTCAGTACCATAGACCACATGCATACCCTGCGGCAGATTGTACAGAAGACTGAAGAGTACAATTTGCCACTTTGCCTGGCGTATGTGGACTATGAGAAAGCCTTTGATTCCGTCGAAATTTGGGCGGTGCTGCAGTCCCTTCAGCGGTGCCAAGTTGACTGTCGGTATATTGAAGTGCTGAAGTGTTTGTACAGTAGGGCTACGATGGCTATCCGAGTACAGAACCAGAGCTCGAAACCTATCCAACTGCAGAGAGGTGTAAGACAGGGTGACGTTATATCCCCGAAACTCTTCACCGCTGCTTTGGAAGACGTTTTCAAGCTACTGGACTGGAAAGGATACGGTATTAACATCAATGGCGAGTACATCACTCACCTTCGATTTGCCGACGATATAGTCCTTATGGCAGAATCGCTGGAGGACTTAAGCACTATGCTCAATGACCTCAATAGTGCCTCCCAACGGATAGGTCTTAAGATGAACATGGACAAAACAAAGATTATGTTTAATGTCCATGTCACACCTATGCCGGTAGTTGTTGGGAGCACTATGCTCGAAGTTGTTGACGAGTACGTTTACCTGGGACAAATAGTCCGACTAGGTAAGTCCAACTTCGACCGAGAGGTCAATCGACGGATTCAACTCGGCTGGGCAGCGTTCGGGAAATTACGACATATCTTCTCGTCAGGTATACCTCAATCTCTGAAAACTAAAGTGTACAACCAGTGCGTGTTGCCAGTGATGACTTACGGATCAGAGACGTGGTCCTTCACTGCTGGCCGTATGAGGACGCTCAAGGTCGCTCAGCGAGCTATGGAGAGGGCTATGCTCGGAGTTTCTCTGCGTGATAGACTCAGAAATGAGGATATCCGCAGTAAAACCAGATTGACCGACATAGCCCAACGGATTAGTAAGCTGAAGTGGCAATGGGCCGGCCATATAGCTCGAAGAACCGATAACCGATGGGGAAGAAAGGTTCTCGAGTGGCAGCCTCGTACCGGTAGGCGTAGTGTAGGGCGACCCCCCACTAGATGGAGTGACGACCTGGTAAGATATGCAGGAAGTCGATGGATGCAGGTGGCTCAGGACCGTGCTTTGTGGCATTACTTGGGGGAGGCCTATGTTCAGCAGTGGACTTGTGAAGGGCTGTGATGATGATGATGATGATGAAATAAAAGCCCAACCAGATGGAAGCCCTCGGCAGGGGAGACCAAACGGCCGAGGGTTAGGGGGAAAGGGAAAGAAACCGGCGGACGATGCGGGCGGTATCGAGGAGCACCGCCTTCTGCATTTGAACCTGGAGCGGTCCGCCACGTAGTCCCAGCCGCCTCAGATGACCCGAGAGGCTGACTGGGATTAGCCCGTTTGCAGAGACGACTACAGGAATAATTTCGGTCGGCAGCCCACCCCACATGTCGATCACCTCGTGAGCCAGGTCCAGATATTTTGTTTGCTTATCTGTTTCGGCTTTCACGAGGTTATTATTATTATTATACTCCTACTCCCTAGGCGTAGTCCCGAAATCATGTAAGACAGCCTTTGTGCACCCGATCCCTAAAAAATGTAACCGCTCTGATCCGTCCAACTAAAGGCCTATCGCCATCACCTCCTAGTTCTCTAAAATAATTGAATCCATTATTAACAGCCAGCTCATGCGGTACCTTGACGATCACCAGCTGATTAGTGACCGTTAGTACGGTTGCCGTCGCCGTACCTCAGCTGGTGATCTTCTAGGTTACCTAACTCATAAATGGGTGGAAGCAGTAGAGTCCAAGGGGGAGGCGTTTGGCGTTAGTTTGGACATAGCGAAGGTCTTCGATCGGGTTTGGCACAAAGCGCTTCTTACGAAACTTCCTTCCTGTGGGCTTTCCAAGAAATTGTGCAATTGGATCACCCATTTTCTAGCTGATCAGAGCATCGAGGTCGTAGTAGACTGTGCATACTCCAATTAGGAACTCATTAACGCTGGTGTTCTACAAAGCTGCGTGCAGTCACCAACGCTGTTTCTTCTGCATATCAGTATCATGTTGCAAACCGGTAACATTCATTGCTATGCAGACGACAGTACTGGTGATGCTTTACACACCGGCCGTGCCAGATTTCTCAGGAAAACGTCGCTGAGTACCGTGACAAACTTGTCTCTGAAGTCGAGACTTTGTTGAATAAAATTTCGGACTGGAGGTGACTAAATCTAGTCCAGTTTAATCCCCAGAAGACACAAGTTTGCGTGTTTGTCGTTAAAAAGAACCCCTTCATCGTATCTCATCAGTTTCAAGGCACTCTTCCTTGTTGCCTCAGCCAGTATCGGAATCCTCGGCGTCGACATATCGTGTGACGTGCAGTTTCGTGATCACTTGGAAGAGAAGGCCAAATTGGCCTCTAAAAAGCTTGGCGTGCTCAGCAGATTGGGACAGTATTTCATTTCGGCTCACCTCCTGCAAATTTACAAGACGCAGATTCGGCTGCATATGTGATACTGTTCCGATCTCTGAGCTGGGCTACCCAGTACCAGCTCCTACCATTTGATCTCATCCAGCGCAGAGCAGTTCGAATCGTCGGCGACCGAGCTCTTTTCGATCGGCTTGACTCACTGGCACTGCAGAGATGTTGCATCTCTTTGCGTATTTTATCGCATCTACCACAGGGACTGACGGTCCACCACTGTGCGATTTAAAAGAAATATTCTTCCTCACACAATTTCCTTGTGGAATCAACTACCACCAGAGACTTTTCCGGGCCGATACAACTTAGGAATCTTCAAGAAAAGAACCTACTCCTTTTTAAAAGGCCGACGACGCATCTGCGATGCCCTGGTGTTGCAGTTGTTCATGGTCGGCGGTAATTACTTACCATAAGATGAGCCGTATGCTCGTTTGCCCCACTCCTATAAAAAAAAAACTATATCAGTAACTTCTTCTGCCACGTATAAAAATTTGTTGTAGAGAAAGAAATCCTCATGTTTTTATCCTCTTATAAATAAAATCAATTACTGTCCGTTAGTCCCGCTAAAACTCGAAAACCGCTCAAACGATTTTGATGAGTTTTTTGTGCGTTTGAGTGGGTCCTACGGTAGTTTTTTTAAACTACCGTAGCTCAGTTGGATCCCGTAGGTGGCGCTGTTATCGAGTTCCAGAAATTACCCTTGCGAAGCCGGGCCAGATCGCTAGTTATGTATATAATGTACTCCATTGACACCATAATCAACGATATCAAATATGTTAAATGCATAACAAATTTTGAATACGAGAAACTAAATTGATTTCAATTTCAATTAATAAATGGGACTCAATTGAAAGTTGCTCTAATACCAGTAAGTGTATAATGTGTAAGTATACGAAAGACAACTATATTGACATGTTCTTAACTTTTTGTTTCGGTATACTCGTATATATTTTTGTAAAGTGACTTTAGAAAGATAGAATACCGGAATTCAGTTTTTAAATAAATTTGTAACTACATTTCGGCTTATTTCAGAAAAATTGACAATTAATTATTCACCTGAAACGCGTCCATAAACACAAGAAGTTAATAGAGATAGTTTTTTATTCCATATGGATTATTAGTAAAACTTATTCAGTAAGCACTGAAGTTTCAATCATCAGTTAAAAGTTATCCATCTGACACACTGACCTCTATATATACAAGTACGCTGGACTGGCTATACCATACAAAATGACTGTGCCAATTTGAAGCGCCGCTAAAGGATGTCTTGAAAAATAAAATTGACATAATATGCCAAAGTCTGTTGTCTTATTTATATTGTCTTATTTAATAAGTCTGTATTTTGAACTTTTGAACTAAAAAACGAAAGTATTTTATGTTGTTTGATTGTGTATAATATTAGTTACATAATAAAAATTATTTTTATTAATAATGAGAGTGTGCGTAGTCTGTAAAACTCGTTACCAAAAGGGAAGTGGTATAACATTTCACAAGTAAGTGAATTTGCAGCAAATATTAAACAAATTAAAACTATTTGATAACATAAGTACTTAAAATTTTGTTACTAATCTTAATATCATATAAACCAACATGTTTGGCTGTATATTACTGAGTTTTGATAAACAATAAAATTCAATAGGGTTGTCGAGTTCCTTGTCTATAATACTTATCGATGTTCTTTCTTACCCATATCTGTTAACAAACAAAATCGCCAACAACAGATAATTATCAAATGTTTATTAATTAACAGGTTTCCAACTGAACCTAGACTAAAATTATGACTTAAAAGCATAAATATTGTGAATTGGCGTCCGAAACAAAATGATCATATTTGTTGCAAACATTTCACAGACGACTGTTTTATTAGACATGAGAACTGCACCGCTTTGAAAAAGTGCAGTATACCGACAATTTTTTCTGGTAGTACCAGTACCAGTAAATATAAAATTATTAGATTATTATTTCGAATGCTTTTTTTCTTTCCTCATTTTCACCAAACTCAAGGGCCATAGCCAAGTGTCGAAAGGTTGCCTGATGATGTCGAGCCACGTTGGATGTGTGTTAGTGGGCTGTGGCTAGAGGAGATTCCTTTCCCTGTACCGCTGTAGTCG